AGCTCATTAGCATCTGCCAGTTTAGATATCAAGCTCCAGTGGAAACTAGCATCAATTTTTATCAGGAACCAAGTGAAGGAGCAGTACATTCTACTTCAGCAGCTGCTCTGGAAAAGGAAGAAACCCATTAACTACACGTATTTGTACATCTTTTTTGCACCTTGACAGTAGAGGAAGAAAAACCTGGAGCCCCTCCTGCTCCATATTATCCATGCTGTCCTTGTGCTGAGGGTTTCATCCAGAACAAATCAACAATAAAATTTCCCTTGCCACATGTGATGGAAAAGGACAGTTCTGAATAGTAGACTGCTCCAAAAGGCTGCTGTTTGTCAGCCATAAGGAAACAATCACACACTTGCTGGGAAAGAAAGAGACTCCCTGTTTGGAAGACCAGGGACATGGAGAAACAAAAGGATTTACCCACACAAAACATACTCCCATAGTAATGTCCTGGAAGATCTAATTACTGATACAAGGAATACATCAATACTTGCAAACACTTAATCACATTACATCTTCTGCATTGTTGAAATCCTTGCTTTAATTCTTCAACAGATGCTTCCTAATATGGACTAATACAGGTTGCATTACATCTCTCTATTTTTAGTACACATGTTTTTTGGCCATAACAACTGCTGTTTGAGGCCAAGTCAAACCTGCAGAGAAAACACATCTAAGAGACAATGATTAAAGATAGGGAAACTCAACATAACAGTAACATATGTTTAGGATTTATACCTGTTCGGGGAAACCATTCCCCGCATTCAATACCTAGCACTCAAATTATTACCAGCTTTGATCAACTGTTAAAACAGTTTGCAAAATAACTAGATAGAGAAGCAATGCATTGTTATTTTCTGAATTAAAATGTTGATCTTCCTGTGTTTATTTTCCTCTATTAACTTCTCTCCAGGCAGCACACTTGCATTAAACAAAAACTGGTTCATTCAAGATGACGAAAGGGGGTTTAAAGCAAGCTCACATTCAAGAGTAATTTACGAGGTCTACACCATAAACATGAAATAAGAACCTACCCTCCAAAGACAAGCTTCTCTCACTCATACTTATGGGCTGTATTTTATATCAAATCCTTTCTACGTAAAGGGACTTTAATGCATCATTGGAGACTTCTGGAAGAGTTACAACAGAACTTACTTTTCCCAAAGAAACAAAATTTTACAACACAGTTAGAAGAGATTCCTAGGCTTTTGTATCATGGTTTTACTCCATCTTCAACATAGATATTTTCCCCTCAGTAAAAAAAACAAAACAAAACACGCAGCAAAAACCCCCAAAACTGTGAGGAATTAAAAAACACAACACAACTTTTACTTAGACTTTAACAGTATAGGAAATATGTAAAATATACAACCAGATCAGATGAGGTTGTCAGGGAGTTTGTGGAGTCTCCCTCCTTGGAGATCTTCAAGGATCACCAGCACATGGTCCTGGGCAATCTGCTTGAGGTGGTCCTGCTTGAGCACCAGGGCTGGATCAGATGGACCCAGAAGTCCTTGACAATCCAAATCATTCTACAGTTCTGAGATCTCACAGGGCAATGAAAAAAGCCCTGCCTCAGGTATTTTCCAACACCACTCTAAGCTGTAGGGTGTTAATACAGGAGATCGTATAGTCCCCCACCTGTCCCTCCTGCTCTGCTCATTTCTTCCCAGTCAACAACTTTTGCTAAAGCATTAGGTTAAGGGGAAGGACAGACAGTGTTAGAAAACAACTTAGCCCTGCAGCTACATATTGAGCCTGGGAATAAGTTCAAGCTTATGCACAGACTTGCAGGCCTAACCTGAGGGCACTGCAAAAGTTACGTACAATGCATTGAAACAGAGGCCTCTTTCTCTTTACTTGGCTCACATATTGAACAATTCTTATTTATACGTATTAAAGCCTAAAGTAAGAACTCCCTGCAACTCCACTCTCTTTCCAGAAAAACCACTTGCATAAGACCTTTGACAAAAGAGTTGTCAAGCTCATTTTTAAAATCAGAACAGCATGTGATAACAGATTTGTACCCCAAATTCAGCCCAGATTCTTTGGTTATCATCTCTAGAAGTGTTTCACTTCAATGGTGCAAAGCTATTTCCCATGTTTCTAATGACACCATGCTTCAGAGCTAATGAAACCCAACCTTCCCTTCCTTCCCCCTCACAGCATATGCACCTGGAAGTCTTCTAATGGGTTTTCTGTTTGCCTCACAGGGGCTCATGTTCATGCCTGTGCAGAAACATGCACTGCGACTTGAACTCTTCCTCCTGCTGTATGACAGGTGATAAAAATACTACAGATACACATATCATATGACTAACACTAGCACCTGGCCTATGATCGCTGGATCCATCCTTTGCTGCTCGAGCACTTCAGAATTTAGACAAAGGAACCAACAGACTGGGGATTTTTTAACCCATTAATAGCCACTTTCAGATTCAGATCTCAAAGATCCAGTCATGCATGACCTTCAGTGCCTTTTCACTTCTGACAACAGGCAGATTAATCCTCCTATACAGATTATACCAGGAGAAATTTAGCTCTTGTAAAACTCTCCCATAGCTCTAAAAAATTCTAGTGCTGTAGGACATATTATGCCACTTAAAATAAAGGAGTTGTTTCAGAGATTTTAACAACCATTTATCAAACCAGACTGCTTGCATTACCTAGCCTCAAGGGACTGTTTAGTTCAGCTTTCCTCTCCCATCACTTGGGAATATGAAGAAAATACCACAAGCAGAATGCTCTTGGAAAGCTGTGCTCACTCACAGTGCTGACACACAGCACTTCCTGATTAAGCTCATTTTGCTTTCCTCAACTACTTCCCTCCCCTCACTCCTACAAATACTCATACAAGTTACTGTATCACCAGGCTTTTGGTTAGTTTTTCTTCCCCCCCCCCCCCCCCCCAATCACTTAAGTTAGATATCACAGGACGCCACCCTGCCAATACATTTTGCCACTGAGTGCCACTAGCTCTGTTTAAATTTCCACACATTTAATAACTCAATAAAAAACAGCATGTGATACTTTGTATTTTGGTTGAATCCCAAACAACTCCACATCATGCTACACACAGATGAGTTACAAAATCTCAAGAAAAAAAAGCCTTTAAAAGGTGATTCTTATCTGTTCTAGAAATTCAAGAAAAACAGGTAAGGAATGGAAAATGCTCAAGCATGGCAGCTTTGTGGCTTTGAAAACACCTTTTTCCAGGAAAAACTCTGGAAGCGAGCCCCAAGATCACCATCACCACACAATTTCATTACAAATAGACCTTTTGTGTGTCAGAGAGGATTAACTTTTCTTTAGTTTCTAAACTCCGGTGCACAAAAGTTAATCCAAACCAGACAGGAGTCAATTAGGTCGTTAATGTGCTAAGCCTATTAACAGCCATGACTTACATTTCTTCCCCGCAACAATGAAAAACATTCAAGAGTCTGCCTTTAAGTGGCAAAGCCCATGAGCAATTTCATTATTTTATGACACAGCTACTTGAAGCAGTGGCTGTTTGCACAAGCAAGTAGTACTCCCCATTGCGCAGCAGCTGAGTGCTTTGTTCCCCTCTTAGCCTAACCAGCCTGCAGTTAAAGCAAAGAACCAGCACCCAAGGGAGCCAAGTTCTGTTTGTAGCTCTTTTGCAAACTCCTATGCAATGTGGGGCCAGTGTGTGTGTGTGTATGTCTCTCCTCACCTAAAGCCATCCTGGTCTCACACAAGAGTCAGCAAAGCACATGCTATCGCCAGCTCCAGTTAAATACAAAAGCCAAACTTTATTAAGCTCATGGTTGCCTATTCCACTCAGTTCTTTCACACTTTTCTGTTACTTCTGCCAACAAAAAAAGAGTTTCCTGTTCTTTCCACTGCCATTTTCCTGTTTGTGTAACCACAGAGATTGTTTTTGACCAATCTTATTCCATACTCACAGATCTTACACCTGTACAGATTTTACCTGTCACTTCTTCCTATTTTGTCCTTTTAATAGCCCAGTAGAAGATAACAGATACCTTAACATGCTGCCTTTATTTAGTACATAGCCCATCCAGCAGAAGACAGAAGCTCAAATACTGATGAGGTAATGGAACAGAAGAGGAATAAAAAGAAAAGAATACAAAGAAATGACTTTGTAGAGTTCATTAAGAATACTCTCTGTATAAAACACACTTAGATGGTGGTGAAAAGGGTGTAAGAAGTTTTTACTCTGCATTTTTTCCTGTTTTAACTACTAAGCACGAGAACACAACAGGATTTTTAACAATTCACACGCACACACTAAGTGCCCTCTGCGGCCTTAACTGGAAGAAGGTGAAAGAGAGGAAGAAAACTAGAATAACCATTAACAAAGAAACAAAAATTAAGAAGCCTGCCCAGCTGACTCTGAGGTATTCTGTCATGGACAGCGTGTTCTTCTAGACAGAAGTAGAAATGATGGCACACTAGAAGCTGAAAAAGAAAGTGTAAGAGGAACTGTTTGACTCTTTTCCCCTTCAGATATCTTTTTGTCCTGTTAAGTGGATTCCTGGATATAATCTTCACAAAAAAAGCCTTCTGATTAAGTGACATGGAAGTACTTGAAATGACATTTTCATTCTGAAATGCAAGAATCATCATTCTGTCCACACCTACATCTTTGCACTGTCACAACTCCAGTGAAAAGCTGAGATGAAAAAGCACCCCTCACAACCGACTTCAGTTTCAAGATTTAAGTCTTTGCTAAAAACGCAGTCAATTCCTTCCTGAGCAACACCCACATCACACAGTTAAAGCAGAAGTTACAGTTTATCTCCTCAACAATCGAAGGTTACAGCATGTATCCTAATTACATTTGTGATGCGGCTCCTTCTGCCTGATGTAGCAGAGGTATTCATTCGCACATGCCAGTTTTCACTACTTCCACTGGTCACTTGAATAACTTGAATTACAAAATAGAGACATACATTGAAAAACAACAGTTACAACTGTATATTCATGGCCGTTCTCTTGAGCTACTTCTATCTCACCTGCTACAACCTTGCAGTGCTCATCAGGAATGTGTGACTTCAAAGAATGGCTTGATTTCGTCGATCGTCTACGTCTGATGAAGTGTTCTTTTCCGCTAAATGAGGTCTCTGATGTATTCACTGGTTGTATTAACATGTGCTCTGATCCAATTTGAATATAGCCAACCTGTCCACAACAGAAGGAAATGAAAAAAGAATATCAGACAGTTTGTTATCCTAACCATTTTTATCAACCCAGTCTTACCCCAGATTGTTTCCCTGCAACCGTTATTTACAACGTGAGGAAAAGTGAATATTGATCATCTTCAATCTACATAATACACAATGAGGAACTTCACCTGCTTTTCACATTTATCTTTTATTATATAATAATATTCAAAAACATCATTATGCAAAGCACTGTGTCCAAAAAAAAAAAAAAAAACCCACACAAGAATTCTTGTCAACACCTGTTCTTCCACTTCTCTCTCCCTTCAACTAGAACACTACTCCAGCTGGAAGCATGAAGATGTACGCCTGTGTTCAGTTCACATGAGAACAAATAAACCCTACTAACATAAATGCTTTCACAACCACTTTTCTAATTGGCAGCTAAAATTACATTATTATCAAGTGGCATTTATTACCTAAGCAGAGAGATGAGATTGCCCAAAAACAGTAGACTGGCTATGTGCATCATTCTTGCAGAGCCACTCACATTTTTTAGTATGAAGACCAAATACCTTTTACTAATGCAAGAGGCCACACAGAGAGCAGCCTATTGTACCTTCCCAGTGATCATCTTTTCAACTCTATACTCACAGGGAAGGCAAAGTCCCTGACTAAGTAAGACACCACAGGTCAGAGCATTAGAACTCTGCCTTTCTTGCTCCAAGTTCATACTGTATACCTGGCAAGAATATCTTTGGAAGGCAGTTTCTGCCCCAGAACAGCCTTCCTCTGCTTGCAACCAATAGTTTTTAAGGTTTGTATGCTTTCCCTCTTCCTTTTCCAAAATAAAATGAGAAGAGTGAAGGCAAAGATATCACCTAACAAAGCTTCCAGGTTTAATAATCAACACTGTCATAGCACATTAGAGGAAGTGAATATGTACAGTGAAGGTTTTTAAACTTGCTTCTCATTGTACTAATCCAGTGTTTATTTGTATAGCAACTGAATGCCCTGAAACACAGCTCTTTGTAACGCAGTCCCTTGGAAGTAATCTGTAGGTCTGATCCAACTTCTGCTAGTAACCAAAGGCATCATATGTCCTGCTGAGAGGCATCAGATTGTGCCTTCGTTACACTTGGTAAGTAATGGAACTTACAAGACTGTAACCTACAGGGCCCCTGTATAACATCCATCTTAAACATACAGAGAAAGATTAGACTCCCCCATCGCATCTCTGAGTTCCATGCCAGCCAGGAAACAACCTAAATAATAGCTCTGCACATACGTGCAAATAGCATATATTCAGCAGTTGACTGTACTAATATGATTTATAATACACGTTACATACATACTGTAAATCGTACATTTCCACACCTTCCTGCCAAATTCAGTCCTCACGCACACCCAGGAAATCCCTTTGGCCCAGTATTTCCAGGAAGAGAAATTTCTCCAAGAGAAATGAGAGCTCTCGTCTTCTGACAACACAAACTGAACAGCATTAGTGAGAGAGGAGGATCTCTCAGAAAGGGTCACTACTTTTGAAAAAGCAGCTGAAGAATCAGTCTTTCTCTCTGCCATGGTTGCCCAGGACACACCTCTGCACCTAGACTCTGTCCAAATTGCTTCAAAGACAACAAAACTCCGATATCTTGTTCTTCCAGTCTCCTTTACAATGTTTTCCACTACTTCCTCTCCTTGTTTCAATCTTCCAGTCGGGAGGTAGCCCCAACCCCCTTATTTAATATAGGTTTTAATTATTTAGAAGAAGGGCTGTATATCTGGTGCCATAGTACTAAAAGACACACCAGAGCTCCTGAAACACTGCCAACCATTTTTGTTGCTGCCAAAAATATGTAAGAAGAAGTCAGTTTCATCACCACCCAACATTATCCCAACTTTCTGGCATCAAGAGTGAAAATAATTTAAACCACTGGAAAAGACTTATGTTTCACATTTGCTTTGGGATTGTGAAACCTATGGAGGGAGAAAGACATGTGTCTTCACCCTGGAATAGGTTAAGAAGCAATCTCAAGTTGAATCAGACAAGCCAACTAGAGTTTCAGGCAGGAAAGAACTGCAGGATTGAGCCTGTAAAGTGTTCCTAGGGAGTTAGAGTTTTCCTTCAACTTGCCAGTTGCGTTCTGAAGAGTTCAGACCTGTTGGGCCATATTTGAATCCTCCGGTCATTACTTTGCTTTTTCCATAAGAAATCCATTCCTCTTATTGCCTCCCTTATATCTTCCAACTACCACATACCACTGTGCTAATCACAGCATGAGATAGCAGACATCAGCACTGGACAACTACTCTGAGTTGTTCCTCCCTACGTGATATTCACAGGCTACAAAAAGCTAGATTTTGAAGATAAGGAAGTAAAACATCACCATCAGTGCTATTTTCCCTTGTCTCTGGAAATCATTCTAATTAAATAAAATGCTATGCATCTGTTAAGCCACATTTACCTGGGAAGATGCATATGAAAAGCTGGCAAATTCCCTCTGACTTTTCTCTCATGCTGAAAGCACACATGAACAGGACCAGCCACTCACATTGCTTAGTGGCCCAGAAAGCAAGTGGCTGTTGCCCAGCCTAGCCACCCCCAAAGCACCTGTTATACAGGAGTCATCGGGATAACAAAGACTGAGACAAGCTTAGAAGTTCACTGTCATCTGTATTACTGATCTAACTTGGATTTTACAGTTACCATTACAAGACCATCTAGCTGACACTCATTCAGCTTAGCTAACAGGAAAAGATGGAATAATTTAAACCTCAAAAAGGCAGGCAATCAAACTGGCAAGTCAAAATAATAAGACTCAGAGCCCACTACAGCCCCAGTGCACACAGTGCTCAGAGGCTACATCTTCCAAATTATCCTTAATTTAAAATTTATCTCAATATTGCTCACTATCTTTGGAGAACTCCATTCTCCAAACCACCCAAATATTCTTACAAACACTTCCTGCCTTCTCACTTACCTATGGTTTTATATACATGTTGGCCACTTGAGCAAGAATCTCTAATCCACACTCACATCACCCCGAGTTCAGCTGTCTTCTACACATTACCATCCTTGCCAGTGGACTTGCAAGCTAAATGACAGAAGTGTCCTCACACCGCATCACTGAAACCAGAACAGTACCAAAGGGACTGCATATTTATCACATTGTCCTGCTTCAGTGTTCTGCCTCTGTCCCCTGGTAGCGCTGGTGGAGCTGCAATAGCTTGAGGGCTAGCTCAGCACAGGAATCCAATGTCTTCAGTGTTCTCCGTGCGTGGCTCTGGACCATCCCACACATTAACAGGCTCCAGCAGTTACGCTGTTTTTCCAGCCCTTTTTATTTTCACAACATCTTTGAACAAGATCTGTGAAACGCTGAATCTTTAACAGATTTTCCTTTTTTCTCCCAAGCATTCATTAGTTACAAACATATGAATGTGCATAAAAGAACAGTTTTAATCATCTGACAAATTCCATCCCCTTCTCAATTTCTCAGCTGTTAAACTGCTAATCTTAGTTTAACCATTTCCTCAAAGTTAACAGGAAGTAAATATCTAAAATGAAGAATAAAAACCAACACAAATCAAATTTAATGAACTTCATGTGTCTTTTAGACCTGTTCTTACCAACTGCATCTCAGCTTAAAGTCAACTATTATTTACAAGTGTAACTCAAACAAATTCAAAACAAGAGCTTTTGCTCCAGGGTCATCATTCCAGGTTTACACTTAGTTATGAGAGCAGACAATACTCAGGAACATCTGACTGCACCTCCATCTCAACCTGTCCCTACACTGCATAAGCAAGGAAACTCCCCTTTTCCACTGTGGAAGGAGAAAAAAAAATAAAAAAATCCCAGCACAAAGAAACCCAGCACAGCAATTTTAAGAGGTTTAAGTTTTCAGCTTATGGACCAGATATGGATGGATGCCAAACAGCTTCTCTCCTAGACTAGGGAATTCAGCATAGCTGAAGGTTTCCTGAGGGGAAATCATATCATCTTATAATCCTAGCATGCCTGGGCTGCCCTGCTTTCCATAAGAGCAGAGGCTCTTGCAGTCACCTGAAGGGCAGCATTGCTCTGGTTGCAAACACAGAGCATCTGCTACCCCTGGACAGGGATTGAGCCCACCAAGCCCCAGACATCTATATCAGGCATCACCTCCTCCTGCAGTAATTGAAGAAAGGCAAACACCTTAAATGGGGCAATTCACTGATCAAAGGTATCTAAGGACAAACAATCAGGGAAGCACTCTATTCAAGCATCCGTCTTTCTTGTGCTCTCCATTTCAAAACAAGTCAGGTTTACAAGTAACAGGCTGTGGCCTCTTCTGTGCTCTTCCCTGTCTTTGTTACAAAGTTCTTATCATTTCATTAGGAGCCCCTCCAGTTATTACTGGTATTCTGGAGACTGTAGTCCAACCTACTCAGTTCTCTTCGCCTTGGCTGGTCTCCCATACTGGATCCCAAACCATGCTTTGGCATCCAGTTCCACCATCAGCACTTAGACCCCCCTGGAAACCAGCAGGAGTTCAGAGACCTTGAAAAAGCTACACACGCAAACAGTGTTTGAGCCTGGTCCCAAACATACCTTATGAACAGTAACATGAACAACAGAGGAGCAGAAATTTCCAGGTACTGCAGCTAACTGGTAAATACGTTTCTTCCATCTAACCTTGCTTAGTAGCCAAGTGGATAATCATAAAGTAAGCATGTAAATATGCATGTAACTTGGCAGTAAATAAGCTCTTTTCTTTTGTGTTGATCATGTAAGACAGTACTGCAAAATGTTTAGGGTTTCCTGATTTTCAGCATATTTCTTAAGATGCAGCTTCAATTACTGTGTTCCATCCTATAATGAGAATATCACTGAGCCATACATGAATCTTTCTAACATGCATCATCCATTTCCACTGATCCATTCTGCACAAAGGAGTGTCACTGAGTTCAAAGGAGACAAACTGAGGTATGAAAAAGTGAGACAAATGAGCCTCAACAGGAGGAAGTAACAACCTCAACTCAGAAGAGCAATCCACTTCAAGTGGACTGCCTCAGAGCACTCTTGAACCCAAAACAAAGATTTTAGGTTTCAGAAAAAATAGTTACTTGCAAATAAATTTCCTCCTCAAAATGCATCCCAGTGATCTTCTGCTTTCAGAGGAGGTTCCTTAACAAACAAGAGACTTGAATTTCATCCCTCTGTCAAAACCTAATGTTCCTTTTGACCTGCACAGGTACAGTTTTGAAAACTGTACCTTTTTCCAGAATTTAGGTACAAAAAATAAGAAGAATCTATGTCATTTTTAAGGCATTGACATTGCAGTCCAACAGACTGCGTAACAAAGCCTTTAGGAATCTCACATTTTGGATACAGCTTGAGGCAACAATGTGTAGTGTGCAAGAAGTCTCACAAAGGCTACAGGACTCTGCCTCTTTCCCTTATCTTGGGTCTACAAGACAAGATAAGCCATGCTGACTCAGAAGCCACCGCAACCATCACAGCACAACAAAAGGGCCTCTTACAAACATAAATTGCTCCAGTTGGAAAAGACCTTAAAGATCATCAGGTCCAGCAGCAACCTGACCATACTACCCTAACTCTAACAATCCTCTGCTAAATCATGTTCCTGAGCACCACGTACAAATGGTTTTTAAACACATTCAGGGATGGCGACTCAACCAACTCCCTGGAGAGCCTGTTCCAGTGCTTAACAACCCTTTCTGTAAAGTTTTTCCTGATACCCAACCTAAACCTCCCCTGGTGCAACTTGAGGCCTTTTCCCCTCGTCGTGTCACCAGTGAGAAGAGACCAACCCCGCTCTGCTGCAATCTCCTATCAGGTATTTGAAGAGAGACAGCAGTAAGGTCTCCCCTCTTCTGCTGTGTTCCCTCTGCATGAATCCAAGAAGTGCCACAGAACATAACAATGCGCTGCTCACCTTTGCTAGAGAGCGTAGGTGCAGCAGGGAGCAACAGACTATGCATAACTGAAGTTGCACCTGAAAGCAGTGCATGAGTATTTCTGAGAAGTCTCCAGCAAACTGAAACTTCCAGACTGAAAAGCGACATCTCATCTACAACATGATCTCAGACTGTTGGAAAGAGACGTCTCAGTCAACTACATAATATAACTCAAAATAACACAAATTGTAGCCTTATGTAGCTGGAATTATCTGAAAGAGACAACTTCCTGTACCGTGTCCTGTCTTCTAGCACAGGTCAGATGAGCTGCAGAACTTTGCTCCTGCTCATGTCTCCACAGTAACAAGAATGGACAGTTCAGTCCTTCAGCATGGTAAGAAGGCAAGTGTTTACTTGCACAACAGTGCTCCTCAGCTGAAATACAGTCCTAAAGGTAGTTTCAGGAACACAGCACCTCTAACCTCTCTGCAGTTCCTAAGTCATGAAAAGGCTTAGAGCACCTACACACGTGGTACTCTTAACTACACAGACAGGGCCTTAGGTAAATCAGTCTTAAGTACACCACAGCTTGACATAGCTGCAAGAGCGTGGCCATCCTTCTCAAGGCAATTGCAAGCAATGGCAGGGAACTGTAATAGTTCATATAGTGGTTAACAGCAGCATTTGCAAGAGGAGTTTTAAAAAACAAAACATAACCTTTAGGTGCCACGCTGAGAAACTGACAGTACTACCAGGAAGCAATTGCTCAGTCAAGTTGTAGCTCACTTTTTATGCCACTGCATCAGGAATTTTGTTTTTATTAGATCTCTCCTTGCCTTGATCATTTCACATCTTTTTTTGTGTGATTCATTGTAAATGTATTCCTCAACCATACTATAAAGCCCGAGCCAGCTGGAGACCAGGATATGGTATTTCTAACTCTGACTGACCAGCACTTGTTAATGAGATATCTTGAGCATTTGCTTCCAGTCCTATTAGCATTCCCACATTGGATTTTTCAGGAAATGCCCCACTGCAATGCTAGCACTGCTCAGGACATGAATGAGAGGATATACAGGCTGCAAGAGCTCCATAAACAGTCTTTCTCCCAACCTGTCCCAGACCTTGTCTATACACCCACCAGCAAATCTTTACTAGTGAGGAGGGTAAAGACTTTTCCTTTCTCTGTAAACAGTGCCTAAGTTAGCAACTAGAATAACTAAAAGTGCACTGTAGCATTGGTTTGGGTATTTTAACTGCCAGATTACATGGCAAACAATTGGGCTCTAAAAATCACCTGACTTCAGGGTCATTCCAGATTTGAGACCTTGACAATCTGAGGCACACTTCATTTTTCTGATTCCTGGAAGCATCTTCCCACTCAATTGCATAGCTTTTACTACAGGTATGTAGATTTAGTACAGCCACCACAAAACATAAATATAGTAGATTTAGCCTGCTTTCACCATGTTCCCTGTTCACTAATAGGCTTACAAAGCCAAAAGGTCAGTTTAGCCAGAAAAAAAACAAAGGGCTATGTGGTGATGTAGATCAGTTTAACAAATCCAATTCAAAACTTAATGATCATCTTAAATTTAGGTTCAGCTTACAGACACTTATGTTTTCTTTTTCACTTCAAGAGCTGTTATAAGCCTTGGCTAGCAGGTATGTACCACACATCTGCTCCGATCACTTTTTTCATTCCTGGTGATTACCTGAATGAAGAGCAAACGAATAGATTCCTGCAACTGGCAAGGAGCCTCAACATGCAGAGACATCTCTCTCTCAGTGCATCTGCTCATATCACTCTCAGTGCTCCCAGGACCAGATTCAGAGGCAAAGGCGAGCAGAGCTTTACCAGCATCACCCCTTACACAGATGGCAGTACTGATCTTGGCCCCCAGCAGTGCCACAAACAAGCAGCTTTGACAGTAGCCACTTTCTGATCCCAAGTTACATCAATTCGCTCAGCCACGTCAATTTACTCATTGCTTAGAATTCATTACACAAGCAGATATCGCAGTGTCGCAGCTCATTTTTGAGGTGCAACGAACAAAGACTGACCAGTTTTGTTCCCTTTCTCAACTTTCCTGCTGGGAGCACTGCCAATCCTTTTCACTCCCCCTGCTCCATCCCCTGATCTCAGGCAGTCAATACCGTGCCTACAACCACATCCCTCTTTTCAAAAAGGCTCCTTCTGTCCGTGTGTTTTGTAGCTCTTTTAGAGCAGGTCGCACTGGCAGCGCTCGGTGGCCGGGAATAACGAGACAAGCGACAGAAGCGCGGAGCTGTCGCTGACTCCAAGCCTGAAGCAGAGCCGCTCCGAACCCTGAGGAAGCCCTCAGCGGTGCTCAGCTCAGTTTATTGTGCCACTCTACCACCTCGAAGCCACGTTTTTTTTTTTCTCCTTTAAACCTGAGGCACAGCGCCCTCAAACGGTTCAGAAGCGAAGGCTCCAGCCCTCAGCGCTCCAAGCGTTTCCCACCGCAAAGCAGTTTAAGCAGCCATCTCCAGCAGGGATCCCAGAGCTCAAACACACACCTCAAGACCGGGAGCCACCAACCAGCCGCCATCCCGAGCATCTGAACCTTCGTTTCCCCGAGGCACACAAAGGCTGTCCCGCACGGGATCGCCTCACCTCACGGGGATCCCAGGCGCTGCGAGGCCGCCTGAGGCGGGAAACGCACCGCGGAGGGTTTGACCCTGTGGGGATCCCGGAGGAGACGAGAAGGCAGGCAGGTGACAAACCGTGCCCACCGACCCGCAAAATGGCGTGACACCGGTCAGGACACTCCTCAAGCCCCGCTGGGGGCCGACGGAGAGCCCTGCCGGGGATCCTTCAGCCGGTCTGGGAGGAAAGGCGCCCGCGGCTGAGGCGACGCGCGAGACGTTTCCCGCCTCCGCGAGGCCGGGCGGCTCCCGCGCGGAGCTGACAGGAAAACGGCCGCGGGGACGGCGGGGCTCCGCACGGGACGCGCACAGGGCACGGGAGCGGCACGCGGGGAAGCGGCGCTGAGGTGAGGAGCCGGCGCGGAAGCTCGCGCATCCGCGGGGGTGGGAGCGGGAGGGGGGAGACGGGTCGGTGCCGGCAGGAAAACCCGCGGGGTCAGCGGAGGGGCGGGGGGAGAAGCGGGGCCGAGGTCCGTCAGAGCGGGGGCGGGGCGGCAGTACCAGCCCGGCGCAGGTGCTGAGGGAGGCGAAGGAGTCGCTGCGGTTCAACACGCGTCCCGTGTAGAAGCAGAGCCGCTCCGCCGGGGGCCGCCGCTCCTCCCCGCGCCGATGCTCCACCGCGAAGCCCCGGGCGAGGAAGCGCAGGTCGCGGCGGAGGAGCACGTAGAGCTCGGTGCCGGCGGCGGGCAGGCGGAGCAGCACGGCCTCTCCCGCCGCCTCCCGCGGCCGCAGCAGCTCCCGACGGCGCCGGGCTCCGCCGCGGTCCCCTCTCCCGGCGGGAGGCAGCAGGTGGATCCTCTCCAGCGCCACTCGCTCCGGGATCACCACTTCCAGCTCCGCTCCGCCGGCTGCAGGCGAGAAGGAGAGAGAAGAGAGGAGAGGCTCAGCGCCCGCGGCCCGACGGGGCGGACGGCGCTCCGCGGCCCCGGACCTCCCAGCCCCGCTCTGCTGCGCTCCCCACGGACTGGAAGTCGGGGAGCCAGCGGGAGGAATTAATTCTCCCCCTGTATATATACATGTACACACACGAGGGACAAGAAAACGCGCATGGAAGAGAGGAATAAAGCAAACGCTCAAGCTACTTGTATCATTAAAAAAATATATAGCTCAGACACAAGCATCGCATTTCACCAATCCCAATAAAAATCTGCAGGGAGAAGGGGAAAAGCAGAGCAAGCCGGAGCCGCAGCCAAGGACAGTCAGCAGCTTTCCACATGAAACGTTACAGCAGCAGCGAGAGGACAGGAAAAGAAAACGCAGAGCCTGGAGCGATCCGTGCTGCAGAGCGGGACCGCGGCCACGCAGGGGATCCGCCGCGCGCCCCGTGCCTGCGGGCGGCCGCCCGGTGCGGGGGCTGTCAGCGCCTCCGGGGACGGGGATGCGAAGGAGAGAAGCGCTACCTGTGCCGGCGTCCAGTCCCCAAAGCAGCAGGCAGGGAAACACGAGAGGCAGGAGGCAGCCGTCAAACATTTTATGGCAGCGACGGGGCCCAGCGCGGAGCGGCGGAGGAGGAGGCGGCGGCGGCCCGGGCCGGAGTGAGCCCTGCCCGCCCTCGGAAAAAGTAATCAGCGCCGCCGACAGCCCCAGCGTGGTGGGCGCCCGGGCACGCCCCCTCCGCGGCCCCGCGCGCTCATTGGCTCGCGCCCCCCTCAGCGCCCCGCCCGCCGCCCGCCCATTGGCCGCGCGCTGAAGGCGCTGGGCGGTGCGGGGAAGGGTGCACGTGGGTGAGGGCGGCCGGCGGGGGGCGCCCTTTCCTGCCCCGGCCCGACGCGGAGCTGCAGCGCGGCCGCTGCCTCCCGGGTGTCCGTGGGACCGCCTGGGACCCCCGAGCGGGGCTTGGAACAGCTGACAGAGCCCGGCTGAGCGGTGAGCGCTGCTGCGCTATCCGCATGCCCTATCGTTCGCTGCCAAAAGAAGCCTGACGCTTCTGTGCAGCAGCTCTCTTGATAAATTCATTCATTCCGCCATTTTCTACAGCCTTTCCCACCACCTCCAGTCCTGATCCCTTCTTTATTTCTCAAAAGACCAGGGAAAAAAAAAAAGAAGGTGAGATGGGATCACAAAATCGCAGTAACATTAAAGTTGGAAAAGAGCTCTAAGATCATCTAGTTCAGCCATCCACCTACCACCAATATTGCCCACTAAACCATGTCCCTAAACCAGCTACATCTTCATTAAACACCTCCAAAGGTGGTGATTCCTGTCCCAGTGTCTCACCACTCCTAAGGACCTGAACCTCCCCAGGTACAACTTCAAGGCCATGCCCTCTTGTCCTGTGCAATGATCTTGTGTACACCTAGAAACATTATCACACTGAGGAAAAGAACAATAACAATGAAAAACCCATACAGGTGTCAGGAGATCCCAAAGTTATTTTTAAAAGAGATTTAAAGTGGGGAGGATGGGCTGTTCAAGAGGGCACTGTGGAGAAGGAGGCAGCAGCTACCTGCTCTTACCATTCCACTTGCAGGGCACACACAGCCCACACACAGCCATTTCTCATCTCTCCAAGATCTGGCACCCTTAAGAGCTCCTTCCCACCTGATGATTCTGCCTTCATGTCCTCAGCAGCCCAGAAGTTAACAGTAAGTCTGGCTCAAGGGCTGCTGAAGGCAGGAGGGCAATTTCCAGCAAGACAAAGATTTCTATTGTGTTTGGTGGTCTTGTGCTCCCGGCGTGGCTGAGTCATAGCAAGCAGTAAAGACAGTGCATTAGCAGCTTTAAGCTGCTGTGGCCAAGCAGAGCAGCATCCTAGAGCTCAAACTTTTGCAAATCTGCAGCTTCTTTACTGAATTCATAGAATAATTCAAAGGAAGACCCTTAAAGGAGTGTGAACGACTCTGGCAGGTCTCAGTGCAGTTCTTGCACAAGCATTGTCCAATGTTCATCCCTGTGAGGACAGGCAGCTGGGGGTAGTCCTAAGATGAAGGCTATTTGAAACTAGGAAAAGGGCCGGGGAAGAAGCTCTGTAAACAGTTGCATTAGTGCAAAGTGAAGGGGAGGACAAAGAAATGGTGATTTAGAATGATCTTGGCTGTATTGCCAGCTAAGACTTCCACTCAAATCATGGCTCTCTCTAGTCACTAGCTCAGAGCCAAACTGCAACAAGGCAAACAAAAAAAAAAAAAAAAAAAAAAAAGAAACAAAGTACAGGCCATCACACACACTTGGCCTCCCTCTTCACTGAGCCAAATCTACCGTTTCTCAGCTCAGATGAGTTTCACTTATCTTTATAGCTGGTATCTGTCATACCCATCCATACCCCTCCAGATATCAGAGCCTTTGCAGCCAGGTGCCCTATCTGTACAGTAGTCAACAGGTAGGACCTCATACATCTAGGATCATGCATTTTCTCATTTGCATAGGTCTAGAGACTTCAGGCTGACTGTAATACAATGGCAAATGCAGCAATGACAGCAGAGTAGCAAGGTCCTAAGCTGCAGCAAGTAAGGAGTTGCTCAAATACAACAGCCATAAGATGCAGAAACAAAGGAAAGAAGTTACTTACCTTCAGAAGGTCTCAGGTATGCACAGATCTCCACCTCCAACCCTTAAATGAGTCTGGAATGGGGTGAATCCTGACTCCACCCCTTCTGGTCACTCAGCTGCATTGCATTGCACTGCATGCACCTGAGCTCCCCTGGGTTGGCCCTGCCTTCCCACCAGGTGCCCAATCACTGTTTCAGGCCATGACTTAGCATTTCTGCTGCACTGACAAAAGCTACCAGTCTGAACTAACAGCCCCTTTTTTGTCAATTTTATCTTTTCATGTTCTGGAAAAAAGGTTTGGTTTTCTAATTCTGCTCAGGATGTCTTTCTCATGTTGCCTTGCAGGAGAAGTGACTACAGCATATTTATCATGTTACCAGATACTTAGCTGCATGCAGTGTCCAAAAGACAGGAAAGTCAACACCATTTTCTCTCTTCCAGGCATTGTGGCAGTCCCAGGCAAAAGGAATCATAAGAATACGCATTTTGCCAGCACAGCAGCACTGGGAGGACATTGCCTGTGGTCAGCACTAAGAGTGAAACTGAGTATCTGCAGCCAGTTCCCAGCAGACAAAATCTGAGCAAAGCCAGGACCCATGTCTTCAATTCACTTTTTTAATGTGAGACCAGGTGAGATTTAATAGCTCTGTGTTTTCCTGCCTCTTTTAAGACACAGTCTATGCTCTAGCGTGAAATAAGTTACCAAAGCAAAAGGACTGGCTCAGAACCCATCCAAATGAGAGAACACCACTGCCTTGCCACATGCCAATAATGTAACATAACATTAAAGCCTCAGAAACTGAATTCTCTCCTGAACCAACAACTTCAGTGCCTCCCTGCAAGGCTAGAGCCTATGCTGGCACAGCAGCTATAGGCAACTTCCCCTCATCTCTTCCACTCGTGGCAATTCTCCACTCCTGAGAACCAAGAGGCAATCTGATTTGTGAGCTGCCAAACCTGGCCTGAGCCCCAAACAGCCATGTTTAAATGCAGACCACCAGCTGTCTTCATTTGCTAAGGGACCAAATTCAATGCCATGTCTTTTTCCTCAAAAAGGTTTGAGTGAGGGGTCGTAAATTTGCTTAAGCATTTAGTAGATTCTTTCTCCCACCTTCCAAACACCTCTGCCAAAATAATAATGCACAGAAAGAATTAATTTAACAGTGTGGGGGAAGAGGGTCACTAATAAAAAGAAGTGTGTAACACACGGCATGGAAGGACTCAGTGGCTGAGCTGGCCAGCACAGACCACGCTGGTGTAGAACTGGTCTTCACAGAGCATCACAAAGATGCAGAGCCTCTGGGCAGGGGCCCACGGGGCTGCAACAGGTGCAATATCACAGGCAGACCTTGCTGTTGGCAAAGGCTGGAACCAGGAGAGAGGGACAAATCCCTGCAAAGGTACCCATGCAACAAAAGAGGAAATTGTCTTAGGAGCAGCAGTGGTTTTATTGAATTCAAATCCCAAAGCCCCACTGAGACACCGACCTTCTTTATTAATTTAGCACCATGGGCTTTTCAGAAATGTCTTGAAACTGTTATTGATAACAATAATGCATGTGGTGGGAGGCAGCTATAGTCCTGTGGAAATGGCTGCATTCCTTCTCTGTCCCCAACTCTTTTTGTGGATGGAATCCACCTCCTTTCAACATCAGAGAGTGGATTTGGCCCCACAGTTTCTAGGAAACAAACCCTGTCCCCCTCTAAAGCGAATGTTTTATTTTTTTGCAATTTTAAATGTATTTCAAGGAAGCCAAGTTTCATGGCCATTATTGCACAGTTAATAACCCTTTGGAGACTGCAGACATGTGTTATATACATCTTCCTGAGCAGTCATTTGGCTCACTGCCTGGAAAATGCCAGCATGTGAAGGGTTAACTTGGCTGTTATTCAGCCTTCTCTCCAGGCACCCCTCTCTAAACCCTTCTTGTCCTGGTCCGGAGGGGCAATGATGGCCTTGCAGGCAATGCTTTCCTGCCCAGTACACTCTGATGACTTCCCCACTCTCCCTGCAGCTCCTCACCTTGCTGCAACCTTTGGGCAGAAGTGTTTTCCTTTCCTGCTGCACCAGCCCTGTTGTTGCAGAATCTGGCCAGGCTGATCAGACACAGGTTTAATGGCTGCTGCTATTATTTATGTCAATGCCCTACAGATAAAAAAGAGTTTAACGACAACTAGGAATTGAGAAAAGCTATTTTATCACCTAAAACAATCAAATAAATAAATAAGGTAGCTGTATGGTTCCTGTAAAAAAAAAATAGGTTTCCTACAGATCAGTTTTTCACAGTCAGCTAGAGGTTTAATCAAAGTTTCTTCCCTGGACAGAGGGTGTTTAATGGTGTGCTCCCTCATGCAAATTCTCCACTGTGTATTACTATTCAGGTAGTCCTCAGCAGAGGCTCTTCCACTGCATGAAATCTGCTGAACTTATGCAAGAAAAATCCCTCTGGGACTCGTTTACTGAATCCAGTTGAAAATGGCAGCCCATTCCTGAGCTCCTGGGGATAAGGAGCAGAATGAAGTGACTGACGGTGGAGATGACCAGGGACAGCTGAGCCTCTGACACTTGTGTACGCTCAGGAGAACACAGCCTGCTTCACTTAAGGTAAATTTGTGACAGCTGTCCTGGCCCTTTCTTTCCTCTAGGATGGAGCTTGAGGAAGATACGCAGCCTGGCAAAGGTTCCCTTTTATCAGAGAGAGTTTGCTTTTGTTGACGTACACCTGTCTCACAAACAGCAAGTACAGCATTGGTGCCACTACTGCCTGTAAAAGACCCCCTGCAACATCTTGTTGCCTTGGTACAGACATTTGAAGGATCAGGGCACAGCAGTGTCAGGAACAGAAAATCACATTGCTCACATGCCACTGTGGGTGAGAAAAGGCAAGAAAAAAATTAAAAAAATGTTCTCCCAATCAAGTAACACACCTGCAGGATGTTGGAAAATCTGCTCCCTCCAGGGCAGGAACCACTTTATGTAAGGAGAGTGGAAATGTAAGTGTACCACCACCTCCACACAGACCATGCTGGGATTTTGAAACATGGAGACAAGGCTAGTCCAGGGCCTGTTTGGTATCTGAGATCGGCATACAGA